AATGGGACGTTAATTTACGTTAGACGAATATCTATGATAGATTACCTCCCAGTGTCTACTCTACAGGACTTCAACGTGATTCAGATCAAGAACACGTGACTAGCCTGACAAGAACGTAAATATATTTCTACACCAAACCGACACAATCTAACAACAAATGGACAACCAATAATAATAAGGACAAGAGAATATATAACTCATTTGACATTTGTCAGACTATCTACAAGTCTGACTAATCAAAACAACCAATCGTTATCATTCTCGCCCATACATCAGGTGTCTACTGAATCTTTCATTTGGTTCAGTAGCACTAAGGTGGTAACTTCTCCTGGTACTGATAGTAATGTGAAACCTCTTTAGTTTTCACATTTGCTCAGATCTATCCAGTCCGTCGGCACTTGTTCTTCCTCCGAAGCATGTTTGCAATTACTTCAATGTCTGACTTCAGTGCTTCAGCTGGTATGTTGTCTGGTCCTGCTACCTTCCCACTCTTGATTTGTCTGATGGCCATCCTGATTTCTTCGATTATTGGTTGAGTATGTGTGTGCTGCTTCGGTGTCTAGTGAGTTGAGTGAGACTGGTCTATTCAAGAGTCCGTCAAAGTGTTCTACTCATCTATTCTTCTATTCTTGAATCTCAGCGATTGGCATACATTCTTTGTTCTTGACTGGTCACTCCGGTTTACCACATTTCCCTTCTGTTTTCTTCGTTTTCTCATATTCTCTTATCATGGGGCTTTTATGACCGTCATCGTTAGGTCTTCCATGTATTTTCACTTGTCAGCTCCTCTCTTTGTTTTCGCGTCTTCCACTGATCTTCCGATTTTTATACTGATGCAGATGTGATCGATTTTGTTCTCTGTAGTGTGATCCGGTGAGACCAATGTAGCTTATTTATCGGTTTAAGGAGAAATATTGTGCCACCTACAACCATTCTGTTGAAAGCACATAAATTTTGAAGTCCTTCACTATTCTTATTCCTTTCTCTGTTTCATGTCGTCCCATGATACTTTCGTATACAGTGTTGTTCATTTCGACCTTAGCATTTAGGTCTGCCGTGAGAATTTTCGTGTTCTTTCCTGGGCACTTAGCTACGATTGACTGCAGTTTATCATAAACCTAATCGTTATTGTCTTCTTTGCTATCATTGGTAGGCGCATAACCCTGGATGATATTCATTGGGAACCGATCCTTCCTTGTTAAAAAGAATTCTTTGACTATTTTAAATCCATGATATTCCCATCTTGTAAGTGCTTTCGTTCTTAGGATAGCATCAGTGCAACTCTTTGTGTGTGGAAGGCATTCTCTTCATGACCAGAGTACAACAGCATCTCTCCCGAAGATAATCTTCTCTGTACATCTTGGATCCAATGAGTCTTACTTATTCAGAAAACCAGCAAGTTTTCTTTCCTTAATTCTGTAGCCATTTTATTGGTCCTCCCGGTCTCCCACATTGTCCGAACATTCCAAATACCTAAATCATTTATCACTTTGGTTGTAAGAAGGGACACCGGCTTCGTAACTTCTGACGTATGTCGGCTTTCACTATGAAGTGTCCGTTTCTATCATCGTATAAATCCGTTTCGGTATATCACAATAACGAACACAAATACGCTGCACAATAACCTTGGATTTTTGAGTTTTGCATAGGAGTACTCAGTAACAGTGACGAAGTATATCATGAATTTAAGCCAGAAATTGTTGCTCTGAGCAACAGTTGTAACGAAAGATTCATTCAAAGTAAAGTATTCACTCAAGTAAATATATAACATTTTGAGAACTTGTTTAATTATATCCGTTTATTTTATAATTTTCTGATCGGTAGATCATAGACTTGTCTACAGGTTTTATATCGAAATAACTGAATCTATCGCTAATGAAATTTGTGACTTTTTATTTAATTTTTTGAGATGATTCGACTTATTTTAAAAAACCACAAATAAAATTAGTAGGAAACAAATATCACAGGTGTAGATATTGTTTGTCTGAACGGATAATATAGATATCAATCTGTCATAAGGCGCCAATTATCTTTCGAATGTATATATATATATATATATATATATATATATATATACATTAGTGTTTACAGTCATTTTTGTTCTGACTAATGGTGATATATTTTGAAGTCTAGTGAAGCAAGCAGAGATAAGCACACATATGTGTATCACTTGCATCAGCAAATGTCTGACCTAATTTTAGCACGATTTATTTTATTCTGTACATATTCATATAAATGACATGTTAATCCATTTTCGAAGTGTAGTTTTGTTTATAATTTCAGTAAATTTATCATATAAATAACATACTAGTTATGCCCGATTGTTGTTCGTATTAGGTCTCTATATATTTAGTGATCAGAAAGGACATTTGTACTCGGTTTTTAGAAGAAAAAAACATGGAAACGGAAAGGCTGTTGTAATTGCTGTACAAACTGAGGTATATTAATAAGATTAATTACTATTGATTTCAGTGCAGCTTCCATAATTTATTGATATCCAGGTCTTTCTAATGAACTCTAAGCCCCTAATTTCTAGATTCATTTGAGTTATCAGTAAAATTGAGATGGAAGTAATTATAAAGTGATTATATTCAATAACGTAACCTATAACATGTGGATATTATTTCCAAATATGTTTACTCTTGAATAGATTAGATAAATGTAGTTAAATATGAGGAAAATCGAACCATATACGCACATAACTTCCTTGTTTAAATCCAGTCCCATTGTGTAAATCAGTCAAAGCCACTCCCCGTAAATTTAACAGTGCTCAACATAAAATCTAACCAAAATCATAAGAATTCATTTTAAAATAAAGGGGAATGATATGGTTGGTGAAACCTTTTGAAATGGAAATATTTTGTGATAACCAAAAGTAATTGACTAACTAGTGAGGCGAACCAGATATTCCACAACTTAGATAAGAATCTTGAGGTGTGTACCTAGCTTAAATTTTTACTCTTACTCAATACTAGTAGAACAAATAAGTATTTTTTTTAGTATGTCTACTTTCAGGGAGAATAACTTTAAGTCTCATAGAACAATAGGTCATAAAAAAGATTTCTACAGAACTGTTACGTCCTTAAAGAGGCGTTAAACGTTTAGTCCCCATAATCGAGCGACCGAACGCTGGAGTTAAAAATACTTTGTATCTAAAGTTGATTCTATATTTCGTCCGTAATCCAATATTTAACTTCCAGTTAGAAATCGGTTTTCGGTATTCTTCAGATTTTATGCGAAACCTAGCAAGTACTTGGTAGGCAAAATATCCACCAAACGAATGACAGTAAAAAGTGTTTTAGTGGTCTCAAAAGTATCAATAGGTCTGCGAAATAGGTAGTTAATTATTACTAGTGTTACAGATCACACACTTCATTTACTAGATCTAGGTTATACAACTGAATTTTCACCATAACTCATATAGCTAGATCCAAAATTGGTAGCATAACTTACGATAGAGTATGATATAACATCCAAACTAGATAAAACTTATTGAAGTGCAGGCTGTGGTAAAGCGGCATAGTGAATCACGTACAAGTTTCAGATAGAATAGGTGACTAACAATGCTTATTTCTTATACACCCCTTTTCATCCGGTAAATTCAACTTCCGATCTGTCTTCTATATGGTTCAACCAATCAAGTATAAAAAATATCCATTACTGGCTGAATCAGATTGCAGATCATATCAAACATCAAAGTCATATGTAAACACGATATTCAGTTGTGTGCTGATAATAAATAACACGAAGTTTAAAACTTGGGAATCAGTTGTGAAAGATAATATTTTTTGTCTCAATAATATCGATTTAGAACATTCAAAGGTTACTTACAAGTTATAAATTATATTGTGACCTTTGTAACATAATTCTGTAAAAACCTATCTTATTCATTACTGAGGTTGTTCCACTACAACTACATACCAATATAAATCATTATATCGAGCATTGTAAACAAATAACATTAAACCACACTCCATCACGCAAGTATATGATACTTATTGTGTTTATAAGATAGTTTTTTTTGTTCATTATTAGCTGTAAATTGTTAGCTACACCACTTGTATGCAAAGTGAAGTACATATATATGAACTTTACTTTCTCTACACTTGACCTTTTATGAAAGTATATGGATGAATGTGCAAAGTGTATGAAAATTCAAAGACAAACCAGTGGAATTTTTAAAATAATTTATTTATTATACTTAAAATGTTAAAACAATATCACTATATTATTCATAACCAACGATTTACAAACCTTTTTTCAGATAAACATTAAAGGAGTACAACTATAGCTCTTATGCAAAATATAGTAGTTGTATTAAGAACTATCAGTTTTTAAATAGTACCTTCTCTGAGCAAACTTTTCACAACAGTTGATTTTATTCATAAGAGAATCTATTGAAAAGTATGTACTGTATTATCCACTCCAGACATAATATTGACCTTAAGTTAGTAACCTCTGGTTTCTTCTAATCCTACGCATAAACTTTAGTGAAACCGTGTAATTCATTTTAAAATGTCAGAAATTCTATTCAAAAGATAAGGCGTTATAGACACGCCTATATTTTTTTATGATTTGTAGGAAACATAATGATAGTAATACATTTTCATGTACAGGCTAAAACCATTGTTATCAAATCCACTATATCTATAAAACAACTGCAAGTACATCAACATGTGAGGGGAAATGAGCAGTCGTCGTGATCAACAATTTCTAAATTTCAAACGTGTTTACAATTCAGTGTATACTTTGGCCTGTAGTTAAAGTCAGTTCGTTGTGTACAAAATGCCTGTTGAGTTAATTTTGCCAGTAATAAAGTATGTTAGCTTAGTATTTCAGTTAATGACATTCAGTGACACTGAGCTAACCACACATTTTCCTTCAATTCACTTCTTTATTCACAAGGTAAATAATCTTAATTACAGGATAGGCTGATTGTTTGTAACCAATCAGGATAAAATGATAAAAAGATATATCTGTACACTGAATTACAACTTCATGTGTTGTTTTTGTCGATGCTTTCACGCACAAATCTCTTTTTTTCTTATTTATGAACCACATTGAACGAAGATTAATTCACAGATTTCAAATGACTTTTTAACATGATGTCAAGAAAAATACATTTCAAAGTTTGTTTGCTTTTCAAATGAAGTAACTTGTACAAAACTATACGGTTCGATTCTTTTATACTGATAGTTTGCATAGATCGTCTCTTGTGGATACAAATGTCAGGAATGCATTTACATAAAAAAATTAGCCTATTCAATATTATTAATACTGTAACGATTATTTTAACTCAGTGCTGTGCTGATACTGATTATGCGAACCATAAAACACAAAACTATTTTACTAAAAGCTCAAACTTACAATTTTATGACCGAATTGATGGAGATATTAATTTCATTGATAAATACTTACCTCGGCAAGTTATCACAAGAAAGCTAAGGGATGCTGTGCCGATTATGTTTCCGATTGACTCAAAAGAAATCGAAGCGTCCGATCATTTGAAAAGTATAATTGAATCTAATCAAAATGGAAATATACCAAGTGAAGTTTATTCAAACGAGAGGGTAGGTGAACAACATAGGGAAGCTGAAGAAGGTGTAGATGATGTGAGTCACTGCATTCCGATTCACGAACCCGTTTGTCATGGCCTTCAATACACACATACCTGGTTGCCTAATTCAGTGGGTTTAACAACACAAGAAGAGGCCGCTAAACGCATGAATGATTACCGTTCCTTGATCAATGTTGGATGTTCACAGTATTTGAAATTTTTTCTATGTACGATTTATTTCCCAATGTGTACTCCAGCTCTGAATCCACCAGCTGCTTTACAACCATGTCAAAATTTATGTCGTTATGTTCAGTCGAGATGTGAACCGATTATGAAAAGTTTTAGCTTTCCTTGGCCGATTGAACTGAATTGTAAATCATTACCCTCGGAGTCCGGAATGTGTATACAACCACAAAATTATGATTTAGATAAACAAGGAGAAATTATAAGCCAAGGGATTCCATCTGAAGCTCACGGAGCCATCGCCAACTTGCTACCAGATTTTGGTGAATTTCTAGCTCATCAAAGTGCACAAAATCAACAGTTGACTAACCAGACAGATAACAGTCATGGGAAGATATCATTAATTGATAATAATCAGTCTGGATTGATGAAGTATCATATACTTCATAGAAGTAAACTGCAAGCCTCAAAGTGTTATGTTGTTGAAATTCTTTTATATTCCGAACAGGCTCATGACAATATTACATGTGCTCGTCGGTGCAACGCTCATTTGTTTTACAAACCAATCGAAAAACGTTTTGCCAATATTTGGATGTTAGTTTGGGCCATACTTTGTCTGGCATCATGCGCAATGACAATGATTACATTTATATTAAGCCGTTCACGTTTCGCCTATCCAGAGAGACCGATTATTTATATATCAGTTTGTTACTTTTTTTACTCTACTGGGTTCATTTTACACGCTCTAATTGGACGTGATTCGGTGGCTTGTAGAAACAAAGTTGAAACTATTTCATCATCATTATTGCCTAGCGGAGTATCACAAGAGGGAGCGAAGAAACTTCTTACGAGTGTGGCCCAGTCGAAAGTTAATGTTACTTTCTTGATAACTTCTGGGCATGAAGGTACATGGTGTACTATCGTATTTCTTATCCTGTTTTATTTTAGTCAAGCTAGTTATTTATGGTGGGTTATGCTAGCTATCTCATGGTTCTTATCAGCTTCATGTAAGTGGGGATGTGAAGGCATAGAAGCTATCAGTAGTATCTTACATATGCTCGCTTGGGCAGTTCCCGCGTTAAAGACTATTATCATACTGATCATGCACCGCATTGATGCAGATGAGTTAACTGGATTGTGCAATGTTGGTTATCAAAATTCAACAAGTTTACTTGCATTTATATTATTGCCACAAGTTATCTACCTGTTGTTGGGTATTTTATTTTTATTGGTAGGTTTCCATTCTTTGATTTCTCTTCGATCAAACTTGAAACAACACGTTAAAAGTCTCCTGCCTGTTGGCAACACGACGACAGGACTAGCAAACTGTTATAACTCACAGTTTAAAAGAAATGTTTCAGCAACATTAGCTACATCAACAACACCACTACAACCAACAACGCTCACTAGTCCAGCCATTCCTCTCAATAATGGAAATATACGACGTTTAGATAAATTGATGATAAAAATAGCCGTATTTTCTATGTTATATGTTGTACCGAAGGCCTGTGTTATTAGTGTGAATATTTACAATTATATTAATTACCCAAAATGGATGAAAACACTGGATAAACTGGCGAAACAAACAAATTGTTTGACAGAATATGGTACAAATTGGTCATTGGTGACCCAATGCCTTAGTGATAATCACTTCCCATCAGTTGAAGCTAATATGCTACAAATTTTCATGTCATTAGTTGTCGGTATCACTTCAGGTATGTGGGTATGGTGTAACCGGAAATCCTCAGAAACATGGATAAAATGTATGACTGGCAAAAGGAAAGACTTATCTAAAAATGGTTTGAATTACCGTCATCATAATTGTGAGGATGCTGTTGCCGGTGTTGCTGCTGGGAATAATAATAATTTGTCACAAGTTGACCAAAAAGCACAATCTATGAATTCAACCTGTTGCAATTCAAGAGGAGGATGTGGAGTAAACAGTCAGCATCCAGGTAAGAATTTCGAAATTGTAATCAACGGTTTATTAGTCCTAATTCTTGTCGAGTTATATAATTTATGTGTTGTATAAGTCAATGAGTAATAGTTATGTTGAGAAAAATGACCGGGCATCACAATTTATAATAACAACATAGAGTGAGGATAACCACTATTTTTTTCAATGTTCAACAAAAATGAAACATCTAGTATTTTCAACCATTTTTCTGTTCATATCTTTGTTGCATAATAGTGCAATTTTCAATGATGACTTCATATTATTCGTATATAGTTATCTATATATGAGTCCAATGAACAAGCTACTTACCTCATCAAAAAGGCACATAAATTAGAAGTTAGAGCTTGGAATGAACTCAGTAAAAATTATGCTGTTATAGGCACAATTTACTGACTCAATGAATAGGAATGTGCTAGATATTACACACATAGTGAATATTTTGAAGCAGATGCTTTACGTATTCACAAAAGCGTATGCTATCCCGTAAAAGGGGATGAGCACAAGGTAAGGTATTCGTTAGAGTACGGACAATTACTTAAAAAGATATCTACCATTTATACAAAAAAGTTGATGACATAAACTTTTCACTATTTACAAAAGTTCACAGTATTATATTATTTTGATACTAAAATATCCATTCCATTTATTGTTTTTAGTTTTTTTTTATCATTTTAAACATAGAAGTGAATTTTATTTAGTCAGGGTACAGAATTTCACCGTTTAAAATAGAGTGTGTAACCGCCACCAAAGCTGGTGACATTCATGATTATGTAATCAAAATGTTAGAACTAACCTGTTTCTTTTTAATTCGAATAAATAATATAAATGAGCATTTAATTGGACGAAAATGAAGTTTTGCAATAATCGGTCACTTACAAATCACAATCTTTATTTTTTCATTGATGTGTAAATTTTTTTTCTTTGTTTCCGCATTTTGAAATTCATTTGTGGAATTCAATTATTACTAAGCACTGCTGAATGTAAAGTTGTTTACCATTCAGCTACTGATGTGTGATTTAGATTTATCTATTAGTCTATCTATCTATCAGTCGCTTCCAAATAAAGTAAATTATCGCAAAACATTAACTCATAAACGGCCACTGTATGTCTTGATTATGGGAAAACTTGCCTAAGCGTTTTGTTTGACGAGAACCTGTAGTAATCAATAAACTTGTTGTCATGCGTGTTGTTGTGGATTGGTTCTATATTTTCCGGACTTATCACCTATGAGTATGAGCTAGTCAAATGCAATAGTAGTAGTAGCATCATACTTCAGAAATAACAGATCAGCTCTCTTTGTAACTTAAGTTGTTTTCCTGTGTAATAATCAGTCCTACTAGATCAAAAGATTTAAGACTACAAATCCTGGACATTCTCAGGCATATATATATATACTGATTAACGTTGTTTTATCAAGTTCCATTTTTACAGGATGGGATGGCTAAACCAACGCTTAGAGCTCCTTATTTGTTCTGGTTGGGGACTAACATTAATCCTAGAAGGGCTCCGGATATATATATATATATATCGACGAAACACCAATCACTTATATCATCAAATTATCCTACAATCATTACAATTAGTTAGTGGGATTAATAATTATTATATTTATTTTTGACAGTCACCCATGTTGACACCAAACAAATATAAGCGATAGCATATAATGCCTACTCATATCTTTAAGAATTCTGGTTCATAAATAAACTGTGGTTTTTATATTTATCATTACTCTTAGGAATTTACTATTTGTTAGTTCTAATTTAGTATAATTTGATTTACGGTAAATTTCGACAGCTTATCCTTGAATGTCATTCATATTTCCAAGTTTAAATGAAACTACAATAGTGGATAGTTGTATTCCGTCTGTTATAATTCGAGACATTTATCATCCACCTGCAACATTAGGTATAATTTATCTTATCACAGATATTCATTCACCTGGTTATCTAAATTTCGTTGTACGTTGAAGCGTAATTATCAAAACAAAACATTTGGGAAATTTTATATTTTGGATAAAAAGAAAGATATACGTATAATATTATTATTATATGATTTTCTCTACAGTTATCAATCGTGTCTTCTGTTGTTCAGTTAACTTATTTTTAATAGTTTTCTTTTGAGGAGACGTAAAATACCTAGAAACACTTTGGTATTCTGAACAGATGGTCAATGACCGGTAGCTAGGACACATGTGCGCAAATGAGTGCTTCCGTACTTCAACATGTGTGTAATAATACTTACGTGCTAAATGATTAGCGAAATAATTAAATTGAGGTGACGAATCACGTTATTGCATCACTGAATAAATGCTGGCTTCTGTTTTATTTTACTGGTTCCATTCTTAAAGCAAAATAACTAATGTAAATCCACGTCGGTTTTATGGTGGTCGATTCTTTTGAAAAAAATATTTACCTTACAGACCAATTATGAACATGTACTATAGTTGCTGACAAATTTGAGGACTATATTCAGAATAGTTTAAGTACAATTAAACTGATGTCTAATTCACCCATAGGAAAAAACCAACTTGATTTTTATTTAGACGTTACTGTTTTCTTATTTTGTTTAGTAATATTTTTTTCTGACCCAAAACATCTAATCCTCAGGAAATTTGTGGCAATCTTAGAAGAAATGTTTCTATAATTGGAATTCACTAATGTTTCGAATGAGATGGTATCAATTTTAATTCTTTGAAAAAAATTATCCATGATGGAAGTAACAAAGGAAATTTTACTACATTCACCGCCGAAATATCTACTTTTGATTAGTCGAAGATTTTGAACTATCAATCTTCCGAGAAAATGAAATTCTCATTTCGGTCATTCGAAATTTCCCAAGATAATCAAAATTTTGAGTTCATCACCATACAAGTAACTCGACTTGACCATATTTACATTCCGATAATAAATCTACTGAGTAAACACAAAACTTTAAACAAATATAACTTATGACCCCCTTATTACTGAGTTATTGATAGACTAACACTCAAACTGCACGTCGATTTACAATTAGTCTAGTTGATCGAGCGTTTACAGCTTCTTTTGAAGAGAGATTTTTTTCACACGTCTGGTAAGTCAATTTCTCCTATTTACTATAATAGCTATTGATGAAAATGCATTTGAAATATTGGGATTCAAATGATTTCGAATCTTAAGGAATAAAAGATGCTAACCCGGGTCTTCACTCCATACAAGTGATTTCAACTACAGTAAGTATTGGTCTGCAGAAATATTCTTGTCTTTCCGTTACATTACTGACTGAATTATGACTAAATTAACATTCTAGTATATCTTCACGTATTACACATCATTATAAAATTTTCATGGAAACAGGAAGAGTTGTACCCGAAGTAACTATTACCTTACGTCTGTTAATCTAATACATTTAATATATTAAACTAAGAAAAACAATATCGAATAACATTATCCACTTTTAAATGATGAATCATCCAAGCAAATAGTGCTATAGATTGAACAGATATTTCAACGTTTTGAAATTTAATACATAAATTTAGGAGGATATCTGTTTAGTCGGACATTATTCTAATTTTATTAAACTTCCCATTAGGAGCAAAGTACAGTAGGATCCATGGATGAAAGTTTAGACTACACGGTGTTTAGATAATGTAATTATATTAGAATAAATGAAACACACTTCCAAGTTATTTGCTTTCGACGTTTAATTACCATTTATTGAGTCTAAAATTTTACCTTATCGTTACTAAGAATTGTTTCTCTGATAATGAATTGTAAAACGTGAACCGACAAAACGTGAACTCCAAATTAGGCAATAAAATGTACTGGTTTCAGTAAATGTGTTAGTGCTTTATTCTTTTCACTGTGTGAGAAATGTTGAAGCCGAAACATTTTCATTAGCTTAATACTCACTGTCCAAATGTTCGACTAGTTCAAAATACACAGATATTTTTTTCAGATAACATTTATGTATTCAAAGAGAGTTCTGTAGAAGGTCTACAGTATATCTTAACAATTCCAAAACCTCAAAGGAGTTCTCATGAGGGAATGTCGTTATCACAAACCATGACAGATCTAACCGATAGCAGGTGTTTTACTTTAGGTAAATAATGCCTTCCCTGAAAAGATTTATTCGTAAACATCCCTTGCATATTTCATATCATTAGTATGAAAACATTGACAATTCACCTTACTTTTAAATGTTAATATACTATTCAACTAGATGTACACTTAGCAAATTTCCTGATACGTTTAATGTATGCATTAACTGGTATAAATCATATGCAACTACTGGGTAATTTTTACGAACAAATTATAAGAAGTATACATTGTTTTTTTATGGTGTATGTATATGCTCGTTTATATTTAGTAAAACGAATTAATTGGATTTCATTATTTCTTTTATGTATTTGAAACTTTTAATGCTTCTTTGGTTTTTCCTAATGATTGTTTTTCGGTAGACAACAGTCATTATCATCGATTTATAAAATAAAGAATCTGTTTCATTTTCCTGGCTGTTTATCGTTCGCCCCCCTCTTTTTTTAATCAATAAAAATGTAGATAGGTAATGGCTATAAAAGTTACAAGCTTCGAATTTATTTATTTATTAAACCAAAAGTCCATTTTGCATGTATTTACGACAAACTATTTATGGTTATTGGGTGAGTAAAATCAATAAAAAACAGCAATCTGTTTACCTGATGCAATAAAATCAGTAGGCTACTTTTTCACTGTTCTATGGAAATAAACAGGCAATAAACTGATTGGAAAAGAAGAACGAATAATTACTAACTAAAATGACGTATCCTTGTAACTATTCTATGTTTAAGATTACCATACAGTAACTTTAAGGCTAATTAAATACACTGGAAAATTTGAGATAACACCTCTTGGTGTTTCAGACTATGGATGAATATTTCTATCTGCCGTAACTTTTCTGAAAGCTTAATTGCAATCCTGATTATGAATGCTACTTCCCTAGAAATTATGCATTAAATATGATGGTTAGAAAATGTGAACGAAGTCCTCACCTGGTCATATCTTTGAGGACTCAAGCTAATAGGAAACAGCAATTTTACAGTTCACTTGCGAATGCGCAGAACTGACTTTTATCTTCTCGTATTTTCTTTTAAATGGTTGGATAGTGAGCGAAGGAAAACACAGTTTACTTGTATCAGAATTTGTTCGATTTACATAACTTTCTAACCAGTAGTTTGATTTTAATTAAGTATAGTTATTCTGTTTAGTTCACAAGGTAATCTCTCCAAAATTTAATTTAAATTTTACTGGCATCTTTCAGGATATTTACTTTTGCCTGTTAGTGAAAGTGGGAACACGTACAGTACCCACAAGTCCCATAATTCATTTTGCTTATTTCTATTTATTACTGTACATAGTTCTTCAGACCTTTAACCATTGTTGGTCTTCCAATGACCAACAATCCTAATCAGTTTTTTATGAAAACTAACTTCTAGTTAGACAGCTTTTATCAATCCTCTACCTTGATAATGTACATTTCACTCATTAATGACCAGTTTGGAGATTAGTTTCTGAAGTTTAATGAAGACCCACTTGCCAATGGAGTTTAGTTATGTCGAAAGTGAGATAGATTTCGTATTTGACTCAAGGTTATTGTTACACAACATAGTTGACAATTATTAATCGTTTCATTGAATTTCTAGTAGTTTTCTAGTAGAGTGCTTCTAGTCACAGCTGAAGGTACTGAGTTTGATCTTGTATGATGTATTGAAATGAACTAATTACGCTGTTTTAGCTTCTAAGCTCATCGAATAATTATTCTAATTTTTTATCCGATTGTATTTGGTGCCAATTTTAATGATATCTATGGTGTACAACTCTGCTTATTGAAGGGTTTTTACAGATGAATAAACTACAAATTGAAGATTTCTCTGCCTGTTACCAAAAAGCCCAATTGACTCATAACCATAACCGATATGAAGATGTTAGTTTAAACAACTCTTCTGACAGCAGAACCACACCACATCAGTCCTACAATTCCAATCTTATTTTCTTGTCCTGAAAACCAATGGCCCATCAACTAGACTGATTGAGACGTTATATGTATATAATATTTTAAATGGTTTTTGTTAAATATTCGATTACGAGTGTATGTCTAGGCAACATAAAACCAATAGCAGTAAAAGAGCTTCATTATTAGTAGTTAAATTAATCTTGTTTTTATGTAGAAATGAAATAACTATCATTTATTCAACTATGTTGTACAAACGTTGTCTGTGTCTTCTTGATGAATTTGTCTGAAATATACAAGGAAGAAAAATTACACTTTTGTAAACTTAAGGTAAATTATTACTGTTTGTTTCATTCAATTCCCTTTTCATATCAACCGTTTGATGCCCTATGAACCCATCTGAGTGTAAAGGTCAAAAATGGGCCACTGTTTGACGGTATATTATCCTTACTTGATAAGAAAATGCTGTTCATTCAAAGGCTTTTAGCCATAATTAAAAAGATCGGTAATAGTGTTTCATTCAAACATCTAGTCTAATATGGTGTTTTTTAGAATATATAACAAACAGACGAAGTTTCTAATCACACAGTTAAAAATGATATAAAGAAAACAACTATAAAAGTCAATGTATATTAATAATATGCTAAACTGAGGTGACTTTTTTCACACATGTTTATCTGCCTCCAGAATAAACGTTAAATACATTTAACTGCCTTTACAAAGAAGTTATCGTTAATAAACTTAATTGTTTTAATGTAGTTAATATAATCCGTACATTACGGTTATCTAACGTAATCACTTTGTTTCTTGTTCTTGTGCAGTTTTCGTCCCATAAAGCGTAAAACTAGTACTCGTTATGTTTTAATGTAACACTTACCGGGACTGAAATTCAAACCATAGTCATTCAAATTATGAGTATAATTTACCACCTGTATGAATGAATAATAATATTTTTTTACTATTCAGAGCATACGAATTCGATAAATATTTAAAGTATGGAACAGTTAGGTACAAATCACTCGAAATTAAATAACAGGAACGTATCTTTTAATCAATGATAGATCCTGACTAAACAGATTATTGTTGTTTAAGAGTTTTTGAATAAATCGAGAAACAAATAAAACACAAAGTATCTAATATGAAATAATGAAGTTCTGGAATACTACTAGCTGTTATGTTTATGTTGATTTTCATTAAAAAAACTTAGAGTTTGCAAAACATTGGGTATGGTTCACAAAGCGTTTCATAAAAAAATGTAGCAGTTTGACAGATATGTGATAAGAATGAAGGAAATAGTTATCTATAGGCCTTGGCAAATTTAGGCTATATTCCCTATCGGTAATAAGCTACATGGTCTTTCATTACGAGATATTCGCAAAAAAATGAATCCTGGACAATCTTCAGTTACTCTTACTTAACACCACTTAACGAAGAAAAATGCTCTCTGTAACCAATTTTTACTGTATTTCTTATACAAAATAAATTTTCTTCAGTTATTAGTATCTTTCTCCTACCAAACGTTTTACTTTTGAACAGTTTCTTGAATATCATGGCTACTAATAATCATCCTTGACAATATGAAAATGGTATTCTGTTTAGCTAAAACTCAATTTCTTACCTCCTATTAATCCATAAAGTAAATTATAAAAATTTGAGAGCCTTATAATTTATGTCAGTAAACTATGCCAATGTTTTATGTTGTTGATACTGGACTGAAAACTGGTAATATAGATTTGACACATACTGTAGTGTCAAATTGTCATACTTGTACCCCAGTTTCATCTATGTTGATATGCAGATTTTACACATCGATAGTTTTGTTGATTCCATTCAAACATCTAAATTAAACTGCTTGTTGTATAGTATAAGTGATCGTGAAATAACCAGCCCCACTACGACAACTTTACATTTCTTGGTTGTGTTTTGCTATCTGAGCTAAATGGCTTAATTGCAAAACAGTCCGTCCAGAAGACTAATGACAGTTTCACAACTAAATGACTAAGCTGAGAGAACACAACGCAACAAAAAGCATCAACCTGAAGTTCAGATTTTCCCCATCATTTCAAAAATTGTTTATAAGTGTAATATTCAGGAATATATGTTTGAGTACCAAGAAAAATATAAGTGAATAACTTTAGGAGCTAACGTGTGAAGACGGACTTTTAAGGCTTTTTGTGTAATGTTTCTGATTACTTGTTAATGAATACAGTATTTTTGGATGGTGCTTCAATCAGTTAAGTGACAAATGTTTACTACTTTATAACCAGCATATTTTATCCATTATAAACCACAGCAGTTGCATCCTAATCTCCGTTCCCTTAGAGAGGTTTTATTTAACCTACTAGCACAAAATAACACCATATTCAAAAGAATGTATCAGCTACGAATAAAATTGTTTATCATGTAATCGGTATAGTTCCATTTATACACATTTATAATGCTTCCAGGTTTTCGATGGTGGTCTAGCTTCAATTGACTCATGATTTCAACTTTGAAATATAATGAATATATCAATATAAATCAACTAAATAAGTTCAGCAGTCAATTGTTTCACCAATTTATTGACAGTGGGAATTATGATGGATAAATAGAAAATGTTGAGCTAAACCACACTTATTTACACGGATATAGTGAAAATAATTTCGTTATAAATCACTAAGAAAAGCAATTACTTATACCACCGTGACTGAGCTATCTCTACCTTAATGTGGCAGGAAAATGATTATTATAGTGCATAATCATAATATTTGATCTGCTGAAAAGTTTTACAAACCGGTTATTTCCACTGTAATCCCTTGCTGCCAAAGCAGAAGCCGAATCATAGTTAGTTCAGTTAATTTTTATAAGATTAAATATACACTCAAGTAAGTGTTTATCAGTTCTCTAATTACCTCAATGGTTATATATATATATATATATATATTCAGATGTCACTGCTTTTTTATAATGGCCTAAACCCCTTTGAATTATTTTGTCCCTTCAAGATTGATCTTACACCTGATTTCCTATATGTTTAGTGCTATTGCCAATTTATTCTTAAGCTTCCTGAGCTTAACTGAGTATTTGAGGACATATTTCGTTGTTTGTGTTCCTTCATTCCAAGAGTCAACCGTCTAGATGTTACTCATACATACACTCTGTGGATTCATGACACTTAATTCCATGAACACAGTTTTGTTGTTTTTTGCGTCTTATGCTTCATGTTCCCTAATCGTAATCTAATGGCGTCACTAGCTTGAAAATAGACTTTTATATTATGTTTATTTATAAATCTTTTTCTATCTTCCAGTGTTTCTTTACTGTATTAGGTGACTACTGTATTTTTCCATTCTCTTGATAGATATTCTAATTTATTTTCTTCATTGTTAGTAATCTTATTCAAAAACTCTTTAGAGTAATGATTTACCATAAGTGTAGATAAGATTGAATTACTTTAGTCCGTTTATCTTCTGCTTCTGTAACAAGCTTATTACTTCCGTTGATAAGATTTCGAGCAACTGTGACTTTCGTTGAAAAAAATTGTACCGACTTATAATCTAGTTATCTCTCAGAACACTGGTTATCACACTATTTTTTACATCTTTTTTCAATCAGATAATCAAGAAACTCTGCTTTTTGGTTTCCAGATTTTATTTCCTTGGTCACTTTATTGTAGTCTGATATACTGCTTATCGGTTCAAAAAAATTTTCAAAGATGTCATCTACATATTGTAACCAAGTTGTAGGCGGACATCGACATCTCACAGATACATTATTTTTCAAAGCATAGATATAAATAAAGTTACTGGCGAACACTTCGCGACTCTTGTTCTCGAAATATAAATGACGTGAAACAGACACAGATGTATCTTCTATATTCTCAGCTCCTGATTGCAATCAAACTGTTTGAATCTTGATGAATGTTCACAATAACCTCCATAAACCGTTCGAAAACAATCGTTATTTTTATTGAACAAAAATTTCCAGTGTAACATGTTTTTAAAAAAAATTTATGTTTTACGTTTATTTAAAATGTCATTTATCTATACTTGGATTCATTTCAATACCGATATCGATAAACACCTGAATGGCAACTAGTTATACATTCATCCACCCATCAAAATAAAAGATAAAAGCACATATAATAGAAACTATAATTATGAAAATATCTCATATTTCGAAATGAATAAATACACATATATCTAATGAAAGTGTATACCTTAGTAAACAAAGACATTTCTTATCACAACATGATGTAACATGATATGTAGGCAATCATTTCAAAAAACAGTACTATTTTAGATAATTCATGAACACGATGATTGCTTGTATCATATAAGACCTACTTCTTAGACTGAAAACCAATAATATATTTAAAGTGAAAAGTATTTCATTCTCATTTATGAAAGCTCTAAAACTACAGTAAACTAAACCTAACCGAAAATATTAATTTGCTGGTAAAAAATATTTGAAATTGGACATATGAATGGAATCTGTACAATGTGTATTCATGTTTGATGCTTCTTAGCATGCAGAAGTCAAAGAAACTTTTCACTGTGCAAACCAACACTAAGTTCATTTCATAATTGTATGTTTTAACAACAAGATATTTATGCCTGTATCTGTATTAGGTACTTCAGTAAAGTCATGTGTGAGCTGAATTAAAAATCTTAATTTTTAGAATCTCTTTACAGTATTAGACCAACTACGATATATCCTTTCAAGACTACTTCTTATTCGAACCCATATTACAGTATTATAAATCCTTCTATCAGTAGACAGTTAACTTTGAAAATATAACGTTGATTATTGGTATATATTCTGCTTCTAGATTAACATTTCATTCATTTTGAGAGTTAGCAGAGATGGATAGTGGCTAGCAGTGGAATGGAGGACGCGCGTTTCGTCCTATTTGGGACTCGTCAGCTGGATGTACCTGCATCTCAGTGTTGATGTCCATTCTGGGACTCGAACCCAGTAACTCTCGCTTGAAACGCCATCACGTTATCCACTCGGCCATTGAGTCCTGATAGCCAAACAAACAATACTAAGTTGAATTTAAACTTCACCCCATCGCACAAGCAAGTGGTTATCAGGACTCAGTGGCCGAGTGGATAACGCGATGGCGTTTGAAGCGAGGGTACTGGGTTCGAGTCCCAGAGTGAACATCAACTCTGAGATGCAGATACATCCAGCTGACGAGTCCCAAATAGGACGAAACGCGCGTCCTGGATTCCACTGCTAGCCACTATCCATCTCTGCTAACCATGCTTGTGAATTAAGGTATATCGAGACAATACGCACAGTATGCACATATGCCAATTAGAGACTGACCAGTTGCAGTCCTAACAAATCGATGGGAACATTTTGAGAGTGTTCTGTTTTTTAGGCTGAATGATTTAATTTTCAAGCCTTCGTTGTCTTTATCGACACTATTACCAGCAGACACTTCACTATGAAATGAATTATTAAAATTTCTGCAAAATTGACGAGCTGCCTGTTCTGTTGACATAGAATAAAGTTGACCGTTGTGCACAGGTGAATGGCCGTTGTTCATTTATTTATTTTGATTGTTTTCACGTATGATCTGTTCGTTGACGTTGGAGTTGTTTATCCTTTTCTTTATTGATTGATAGATCGAATCAATTTTGATTCGTCTATTGGTTGACGTTTTACTGGAGTATCATGCTTCTAAGAATTTTCTAGATTCCTATGTATTTCCTCTTTCCAGCATTTCGACATTTTCTTAACCGGTATCATGTTCACAGTTGTAGATTGAAATGAGAGAAGCTATGTTAGAGCTTCTAACCACCAACTGATATTCATGTAGACGTAGACAGAGCGGTTGGCCTCTTTCTTTTAATATAGTGCTTCCATGAGTTGGTGCAATTAACATTGTAAATGATATTTGGTTTGTCTCCATTTATCATTCTGTTATTTGGCCTAAATAATAATGATTATGAAGACTTTGTAGGTTTGTGCTTTACATTTATTCCTAGAGGTTTTAATAATCTGTTTGTGATCTCCGGGATGTCTTTCATATAGAGTATAATTATCTGTTTGGTGATTTTTGTTGTTGGTTTTGTGCTCGGTGATCGGCTTGATGAATGTTTTTTGATGAAGTGTTATTTGCTGATGATGTTGTCGAGAACTACAATAAGAGCTTCACGATTAAACTATCCAGCTCAGATTACATACCACCCTCCAAATCCTCATCCTGGACTATAAATATTCTCCACTATTTTTTGTTTATGGTGTCACGATACCCTTTTGTATAAATATGGCTATTTATCCTTCTTGATAAATATATAAGCTCTTAAGAGCTATATTTTCAGTCCCAAAATAAGAATAACATTTTTGTGCTTTTGTTTATCTTACATCCCTGTTACCTGATTAAGCAAATCATTATTATTATTATTATTATTAATAGTGGTGTTAACATTATCACTATTGTAAACAGATATGTCATCAAGTATTATTATGAAGAATATGTATGTAGTTTTCATTGTACAATTTTGAGAATGAATTGGCCAAAAGGAGCTATTCATTGAACCAGTCTATCTTGACTCGAAAATATCAATGCTTTCTCTAAACCCTTCTTTTTCTAATTGAGTTTAGTGATCATGCGGAAATTTTAGTCAACATAAATCCCAAGAATTGATTAAAACAAATAGTTTGGAGTTGCTTCCTATCAATAAAGAGCCAATTACCCACATTCTTATAGAATAGTGCTGATTTAAAATTTATACAAAATATTTGATAACTATTGATAAATGATAACAACTTTACAGATAGCGGATTCTTTTTATATTTTAGGAAACTCCATCAATTTCGATAATTCAATGAACAATACTAGTCACCTGGTGGTTGATTCATCTCAGTATCATCAGCATGGAATCGCACGAAACAACGTGAGAAATTTAATGCCTTCTGGATCGTTAAATCTGTCATCTGGAGCAGCTTCATGCACAAGTGCAGTTCCGTTGTCATATGGTTTAGGAACGATGGATATGTCCTTATTTAATTCAAATGAATCCAATTATTGCATTCGATCGTCACAAAGGCAAGCCGTTAAAATCAGACCGACTAATATTGGAAGACCTGACTTTTGATTTACGTTCATTTTATTGGTTAATAGTGTACAGTATATTTGAATAAAGTGTAACTTTAGCTATATTTATCCACAATGGCTTATATTCACCAACTTATAAACACTATATTATATCAAGGAAACCGTTGAACATTGAACAAAAGTCAAATGTGAAGAGAATGGTACCCTGCAAGTCTTGTTCAACCAATTTGAATACATAATAACATCGTTTACATTATATTATAAAGTCATTTCATAAATGGTGATTCCTTCATTTGTTTTCCGTCAGCTAACTGTTTATTAGTTTAAACACAGAGACTGCCCTTACACAAACACACAGTATGCTCATCTTTGTATATAAAAAATAATTTGTGAGTGATATTCTAGTAATCTTTTAACTTGAACAGTTTTCTTTTATTCTTTTCTTTTTTTTGGTGAAAGTTGAAAAGCTTTTCAGCCTATATACTCCACATTCATTTACATTACTATAATTTAATCTGTTAAATTTTTGAGTAAACTTTATCATAAGTTTACCTATTGGTTGTAGAGAAAAGATGATTCAAATTATTTAAAAAAGAAGGCGGTTAAATAAATTGAACTTGATATTAGTTAACTACAGTAAAATGAATCAACAACCACTAACTAACCTTCATCAATGTAGCCTAGAAAACTCCTTCCCGATTTATTATTATTTTAATTCCATTCTATCCGCAATTTATAAAACTTGTTTAATACTTTAAAATTTCCATTTTGGAATTATAAACCTATTCAGTTCTAAAGAATAATATAAATACTCAACCTGAATGATTATTACCAATGCCATACTTATCTTGTTGACACCCATTTGGAACAAATAAGTTAAAAACAAAATGAACAAAAAGACGCTCAAAATACAAAAAGCAAATATAAACAAAACTTTACCAACAAAGTTAAGGACTTATAAACAAAAACATGACTTAAATTTTTCTAATTTAGTGGGGATACGTTAGGACTCGTAATTGCTTGATTATCATCAAGATCAGTTTCCTTAGTATTATCTTAAACACTTCAATGAATGAATCGGATTTTTTTTTAAGCACTTGCTATATATTTTCAATAGTATGGCTATTAGTGAAGTATAAGTAAAGTAACAGCAGATGTCACCTCTTAGTGCTTGAGAGTTTCTTCATCCGTCGATATCAAAATTAAAGTATCGATTGTCCACTGTCAGAGTACATATTTAGACAATGTCCTAACTTATATAGTTTGAGAACTATTTAGCTGATTGCAGAAATAGTGATAAAACTAAACAGAAAGTAGCTTATAGAAAATGATATTTGTAACTTCACAAGACTTAAAAGAATACTCAGACATGACGAGGATTGAAAACAGCTTAAATACATGCTGACATATAGTATGCTCATCAGGTACGAAATTTGACTAATCAAAAAGAAAATAAATGAGAACAACATCATGTAAAGGTCAGTAACTGTTTGACTTTAATCAAAAGAATTTCTTGGAAATGTTGGTTTCTGATAATCTACAGATGACTTACGACTACACTGTAATAGCGTGAAATTCAAACATGGCTGAAATATTAACATAAACACTTGAAATATTGTTAAAATCAGCAGGGTTATGTCGAATTCGAAGAACATTAACCAACAGGACAAAGCATATTTCAATTCAAATATTTCATGTAAGAATCATCATAAGACGAGAAGGAACCATATGATAAAACTAAGAGTGAAGATACCTAAATTTCCTATATCTTTGAAGAACAATATACTAGCTAGCCTTATAAATCTCTTCTTTATTCAATTTAGAGTGTTTGGACAGTATACGGAAGTTCGAATGGATCAATTTTCTACACATATGTCACAACCAAGTTATAATCTATGTATCAAGAAACTCGGACACATTTTACTTAATCCAGGAGATGATTAAGGCCACTTGTGGAACTATGATGGAAACGATACTGAACCTTGAGTGTTACAAAATAAATCTTCATAAGATTCGACATCAGATTCATAGTATTAGACTAAGCCTAATATTCGCTGCATAGCAAGTACCATCCCATCACTACATAACAGCCCAACCTAATGAATTATTAATCGGGAAATAAGGGAATAGATTCGAGTTTTAGGTAAGATATCAATAGTTAACAGAGTGCAGTGGATTTAACTAAGGAGTTCTAAACACGACAAAACACGTCTCATATATATGAGAAAAAATATTTTCTAAAGTAAATCATTCTTTCTCTGCATAGAAGTAGTTGTCTACTAATTTGTCAATAATGTTTATCTATATGCCAAGGGAGTGTGAAAATTAAGCTCATCGACTGAAAATTAGTATTTACAATAGGATATGGGAACGATGATAACTCATTACTTTCAAAACCTCACTTCAATATTACTGCATTCGACTAGACTTAAAGACCACATTATGAACCAACCAAGAGTGAGATTTAGTGATCACAGTGCAGAAATCATTAATGAATATCCACCATCGATCGTATCGTAGCTAGTCTCAACGATAAAAAGAAGCATTATAAACTATTTACTACATTTTAGGATGATAAAAGAAATGCTAATCGGTGACTTTTAACAGTAAACTCTGGCTAAAGAACAGAAAGATATACGAGATACAGTGATGCTTCTTTGGAATGTACATTGATAAGAAAAATCGATCAAAAAAAAGACAGTTCGTAAAGTAGCATCTCAGTTTTTCCTCTGTTTCAGAAATAAGTTCCACTAGGAAATACTAGTTACGAAGGCGAACTTCATTATTCGTTTAAAAACATTCATTGTTATTTTCTTTATTTTGTATTTTAAATTGTGTTACCCATTTGCTGAAGGACCAGAACTGATAGAAGTCAGCTAAACAATTTCTCAAGGTCGTCACTAAGTTTAAATTATACCAAAATTGTTATTATTTATTTGTTCAAGACCACAATAGAAACATATAAAAACTGAATGACTCCATTACAGCATATATATATACACGCTTCATTTTGATCAAAACAACACAATCATGTTTTTGTATTTACTAGCTATACGATCCGATTTGTTCCTTACAACAGTTGAGCTTGTGATGACTTGAAGATGTTATTTATTTTCCGAAGATGAGGCTTACAAAAAATTCAGATTCGACAGGAATCCTGTTTTTTCCTTGTTATATTACAAATATGCTCCTGTTTTTATTATGAGATTCATACATAATTAGATATTAATATTTATAGCACAGTTAGCCTTTCTTCTGTGTTCGGTATCACTACTTGAGATACTATTGTCACTCAGCAAAATATTTATTCATAGTAATACACTTAACCTACGATTAACTAAAGATCATCCTTTTCCAAATCCTAATACCGGTATTAACTTATTTAGAAAACAATGATGGGGATAAATTTATGAACATTCGGTGTATACTTAGTTGGTAGGTTATTCTGTTACTTGCAGAGACGAGTTCAAACACTAGTTTCATTCAGTAGCAAATGTAGTTATCAGTGTACTGCCGTAAGGCGACATGATATTATGAAGACTTACTATGCAACATTTGATTAGCAACTTTGTTAATCTAGAGCTTTTGTTAAAACTTACTGAAACATTACATGTTTTGTTTAATTACCAAACTATTAACCCAAGTTTCTAAATTTGTACATCGGGTTACTAAATAACATTGGTTGTAAATTAAGTTTGAAGCTACTGGTGAAGACACATTGAAAATATAGAACTGGACCACTGTGTTGTATAGAAATGATATTTTTAAAATCTATGGGTGACTTAACCTGATTCATTCAAACTACATGGAAGCTGACAATCCTCTCTCTCTTTTACCTTATATACATAATATTTGTCTAAATTTTACTTCAGACTAGCTATATCTAGACAAAAACGTTTGGGGTAATTCATATTTTGTAAAAGATCAAGATACATTTAGCCAATGATTAATCCTGTACTGAAGCATCGTTTGCATAACATACATTAATATTAGTGCCCATTCGTTATCTGATATATTTTCAGACGAAAAATCTAATAAATTAGTAATAAGTTAAGTTAGGAGAGAAAACAATGTTTTAATTTGTTTCCGTTTTATTAAAATCGCTAAACAAATAATGCATCAAGTTGACTTCACTTGTCCTATTGTAACGGAGATGAAAAGCGCCGAAAGTGTGCGTGATTTCGACAATGCAAGAGATAGAAAAAAAAAGGCGGAAATTAAATGAAAAGTGAATAATGATAAATTGATTGTATGTAGTGAGAAACTTAACAGCAAGTCCATTAATCTATAAAGACTAGTCAGAAGACTGATCATAAATACATTTTTGTATATCTAAATACTTGTTTATCCACAGTATAGTTCCAAACTGACCAACATGGGCGTTTCAACTTACTTTTTATCTATTCATTTTAGATGTTTAGTTTGTCTGGTAATGTGAGTCAGAAACTGTAGTATTAACATTTGCGCAATTCATGATAGTTAAGTTAATTTTGCTTCATCATTTCTACTTTGCTACATTCTATACGAAGTCACAAATACTTAACACTGCGTTACTTCGATTAAAGCTACTCCTAAGAAACAAAATTTATCATGAGTTTGATATATAAAAATTGTCGCTCTGATTGTAAGAAGGGGCATCGGCCTCGTGACTTCTGAAATATCTCGGCTTTCATCATGAGGCGTCATAATTCTTCCTTCAACTCCCAGGGCAGAGTTTAAATGGTTTGAACTATTTTTTTTCTGGTTAGCGTTTTTAATCGAGTTAGTTTTCTACGGGATGGGGTGGCCGATACTAAGCCCAACCCTCCTCCTTTGCCCGGGCTTGTGACCGGTAGTAACTGTAGAAGAGCTACAGGCGTATGTTAGTAAGTAAGTAATAAGTTTGACAGCAATTTTTAATTCAGTATGATATAAAGCTGTTATAATTGACCGTCAATGGTTATTAATGAGTTGCTAATTGCTATGTCGTAGTCGCTTATGATCTATACTTGTAAAATGAGGAATCACTGCGATTTCCACTATATGAAAGTAAGAACACAAAGACTGATACAACTGAAGATTTATTAACCTTAAAACACGACAACAACCCATGTCGAAAATACACTAATTGATATATTAATTGTACACCCATTTTGATTATTAATTAGAATGAGATCGTATATATGAAAAATACCCACAGTTATAAGGAACTACATACTATATGTCATGTTGTGCTTAGTTTATATTAATTTAATACAAGAATATTGTGTCTTGAATAAAACATCAGAATCAAATAAATTAGTACCATACCGAATAAAATATCACAGTGGAAAACAGAAACAAATACTGCCCCGAATAATCATCACATTGAATAGAAAAATGGAAGTAATGTTGACCAAATATCACAATGAGTAAAAGAACGTGATTTTGCCTTTTTTTAGTCCCATAATATCAAGAACGATAACTGAATTTTTGTTAGCATTTATGGGATGTAAGTAATTGCTATGAAGTTGGAAAATAATGTTCCATCAATTTTAAATTCATTCACATCTGCAAATGATCCCTCTTAGAATGTTCATGAGTGCTATCCACTGTATTCATGTTTAGTTCAGTTCAACTAGTTCTCATGTTTGAAAAACGAATCAATGACTAAAACTTTTTAGTTAAATCACTGAATCTTATCATTTCCTTTTCACAGGTTGTCATTTAGTTATGAAATGAAGTTTGGGCTTGAACTTGTTTAGTTTCTCCAGTACAGTTAACGGAGAAGTTGTCTTTTAACATACTTAATATATTGTTTTGGAAGTGGTAAGGATTCTGGAGCACACTTTTATTTGAAG